ACGCGCGTATTCGGGTGGCACACTGAGCTGCGTACACAATCACGTGACCACGCGATTCCCAAGCACTCGCAAGTGGAGACAAGAGAAGACGAAGCGGACCTTTGAGAGTTCTTTTACGACCCACAAAGGCCAAATCACAGTTGGAACAATGCTTCATTTTGTGGCTGAAATGAATCAGCACGTAGGGCTGGTGGTTTGTGAAAGGACACTGTCCACTTTAGCTCAGTTGTGCTCCGAGTGGGCAGGAATCGAACTCTGCGTCTCACAGCCCACGCACTGGAGTTTGTGGCGCATTTTGCGGGTTATTTGACGTGCCCGCAACAGGTTTCAAATCGGATCGCGCATAGTCGACTGTTGACAGGGATCCAGTCTAGTAGCGCGGCCTCAGCACGTGTGCTCAACTCCATCTGCACGACAGCATAAGCAGCGGTTGAGTCTCCAGATAGGCGCAACGTGAAAATGCCAGTGGAATTCGCAGACGGTGAAAGTAGTCGCAGCGTCGTTCTGTAGTCCTGTAAACGGGTCTCTGAGACAGCAGACATCAGTGGCCATAGTTTCTAGAGTGTGAGCAAGGGTTGCCTGTGATCCAATCTGCATCAGCGTCCGAATATTTAAGGTTGCCAGCTTGAACTTGGAACAGGGGCTAGAAAAATAAAAATAAAGTGTCACCTGTACGCCGTAACGGCGCTTGGCTGCCGTGCGACCACCATCAGTCGCACCCGGGCTGAGCATGCAGCGAGGACGCCCACCCATTCTCGGATTCGAATCCGCACCGCAAGAGTACGAGACTAGCTCGTTAGCTCTAGGCTACGGGGGCTAGAAATGGCTTGTCAATACGACTTGGCGCACCCACAGACCTGAGTTCCTGATCCGCGTGGTGAGAACGTTCGCCCAAAGCGGCACAGTGTTGTGAACTCGGAAACGGAGGGGGAAGACCAAGAATGGGAGGTTGAACAAATGTGGAATAAAGTGATTAAACGGTGGTGCGGTAAAACCTGGTTTGGTAGGTTCAGCTGACAGCACCTCGGCCGAGGAGAGCAGTTCGAGAGTGGAAGCAGATAGAGCGAGCGAAGAATTGTTGAGACATGGATCCGTAGGTTGTGTGAACGTGGTGTTTCCCGGTTGCCCAGGCCGAGGAAGAGGGTTGATTTAGGGGACTCTATCCAGAGTCTTGGGTCATAAAGACCTAAGCCACAAGGCAGTGGGGCGATTGATGTATACCGCGGCCATTGGTAGCCGGCTAAGTTAGGATAAAACGGCTTTCGAGTAGAGGAAAACTACTCAGGGCGCTCAAAGAGCCCCAGTGAAGCAGCGAGGGCAGGATTCCATGGACTACCGAACTCGCTGGGAAGCACGAAGACCGTTGACGACCGAGTAGCTCATACGCCTTCATAGAATCCGGTGGCCATCGGAGTTGTTCATCCGCCCTCCGTTAAGTACTCACTTCCGAAGTGATCAGTGACCCTATAGCGGGTATAGAAATGCTGCCTGATGAATGACTGTTATATTTGTAGCATGCAGACTATATAGTCTTTCTGTTTGACATTCGCGAGGCGGTCCAATCAACCTTCAAAATACAGGGTTGTTGCCGGACGACCAGCCATTTTAGAACGCTTTGAGTCTTTACAGCGAGAAATTAGAAGTGTTAGACCAGTATAATATATGCCATATCAGCGAGTAGAAGTACTCCGCAGCTTCTTGTCATCTTGTTATATTTGCAGCTTTTCTCTGGCGTTAGTATAAAGTCATTATCTTAGGGAATATGGATAAGTTAGTTTAATCTCATATACTAAGTAGCTGCGACTGCCCAAAGAGACACAGCTGGTCTACTTTCATTCAACCATCGGAAATTTCGCCCCCGATACGCCATGATTCCTCTTCTTCGGAAATATTGTCTGGAACATCATCTGTCGGACTCCCGTCCCACGACTAGTTGGGCAAACCGCGATCTCTATGCAACCTTCATATATCGCATTGTTGCAGTTCCCATCTGTGTGGTCAGATCATCTTCGACGAGGCTTAAGGAACGGTGTTCATATTTTCTATCGATGTTCCCCCTCTCTTGGACGTTACAACAGCACCCACCTCTCATTGCTCGCTGAGGCAAATCAACTGTTTATGCGAGGGATTCAGCTGCCGACGGGGGTTATCTCAACGTAGACGCACCGAGTTGGGGATCGGCCACCTATAACATCGCTTTTTACTGTCGTGGAGCTTGTGGCCAGAAGCAGACCTCAGCCATGCGCGTATATCACGGATGTTGTCATTCGTGACGCCGATTGCATAGAACGAACCTACAAACTGAAACTAGGCAAATATGGTGTCGATTCGCACGCAGAGGCGATTTCCAGGTATATTCGATATCAAGTAGTATCCACGATCCGGCGGATTTATTTACCCCACTAACACAGGATATCTCGAATCGCTGGGTCTTTCACGATTCCATATTTCGGATGTGTTTTTCCACCATTCGCGACACACAGCGTGTATACGTGCGGAACCTGTTCCGTAACTTTGCCACACAACACATATTGACCGACCTGAGATGCGGTTCTGCTCAGACTGTCGAATCCTTCGTTGCGGACTATTGTCTCCGTATTCTGCTGGGACACTGCTATAGGCTCACGAACTGTCAAAAATAAGTGCTATTTTTTCATGTCGCAAAAGCTAGAGTCGCTTTGTTGAACTTGCGACATCCGTAGTGTCAGTTTATCCCATGGACCTGAAAGGTCACGTGCACAAGGTCATAGTGGTGGCCGTCCGATTTTGGCCCTTCGGTCTGAGGATCTGAAGCGTGTTCTAATCGTTGACCTGCGAACTATTACTAGTGTCCGGTGGCACTAGCGTATCCGTAAATGTGCGCAGGCGAGTACTAGGCTATGATAATCAGGTTGGTTCCGTAGAACAATAAATAACATTGAGTAAATAGCATTGGCTGTGGCACGTGCTACCGACCACGGCGTGCCGATAAGAACTTTGTTTTACTTACCGGACGTTGGATGGCACAAGGATTGCGATGAGTAAACGTTGATGTAGCTGTGGAAAATAAAGTCGCTGACGACTAAACTGGGTGCTGCCGGCCCATTTCGCTTTTCAGGATGGAGTCCACGCGACCCATCTTGTACTTGACTCCATAACAACCGGTAACAATGGCGCGCTTGCTGTGCTTTCATAGTCCGATTACCCAGTACTGAGTTATCTGCCGGATAATGGCTGATTACGACGCGGGCAGTGGAAGTTGTAAGTAAGCTGTCTAGCCGACACCGCCTTATCTTTGTACGATAGCCAGCTGTTTGTGACGGTATGTTGCTGACAAGGCGTAAGCGTCGTGTTTGCCTACAGCATGTAGATTTTACACTAACTTCCCCCTCTTCCCCTATTATTATTCCTCATTCTTTGCGGTTGTATGGCGGTGAAGCATCCGTTCAAATGACTGATGCGCTGTCGTTGCCCAATGGTTATACCCCATGTAGTTTTGTAGGATTTGCATTCGAATAGTGCCGAGACCTAGTCATACACTATGGGTGGTTTCCAGTCGCTCTGGGGTTATGTCGAGTGGAATCTATTCAGCATATACTTGGGTGATAGCTGTTGCCGTATCGAAGTGGTAGCGTATGGATACGCCGCATGAAACCGGATTTAATCAACCCAACAGCGCCCGGGCGTTGCACTTAGTGGTCGCGTGGCGGCGGACACCAGCTGCGATGCAGGAGATATCAAACTCGGATTGGAGTCACCCGCTTTAGCTCGTGCTGAATGCGGATGAATGCCAGTCGCACGCGTTCACAACTTACTGGCGGTTGTTTTTATCTAAATCTCGAAAACCTATGAGTGCAGGAGAACAAAATTGGCCTCTATGGGACTTTCAAGGACTCGGGAGTCCTTAGTCTTGATTCAGCTGCACCCATTAGTTTAGCGCAGACCCCAGATTCATGCTCGGCGGAAACCCATCACCGCAATCTCTTTGTGTATCGGAGATTAATGGGATAGCTTTTGTCTTGGCGCGTCTCATCGAAGAAGAAAAGTCAGCGCTGTGACGTCCCAGAAACAAGAAAATGTGAGACAGAACAACCAGGGATGCGATCCTACTGTCTAAAATTGTGTCATTCGGAATGAGCTGATGATCCGTGTTTGTCTGCAACGAAGCATCATCTTTATCGACACGCATGCAATCAAGCCCGAGTATACCAACTGGCCGGACTATGTAAGAGACCAATGAATTTTGTTGCACATTCAAGCAAATAGGGCTATTTGAGCTGGTAGCCCGGTGGAACTAAGGATAAGCTGATGAGATACTGTGCTTTGAATCTGCTATAGATCGCTGTGCCAGATAGGGCGTCATCCTTAATATGTACTTCGACACTTCGTGGAAAGCACTGCTTGTAGACTTCCCACGCGCTTTCTCAGATACAGAATACGGAGTGGCTGCAACTCAGTATTTATGTGTGGCTATCACTTCTGCGTCATCAGAGATGTATAATTGGTATCTTGTACGTTATCCCAATGCAATCAACAGGACTACTGGAACCTAGATCGCAAAAATGCGACGCAGAAAATGTAATACAGTTGAAAAATTGGCTCCCCAATAGGTTTTTTTACGGTAACTTGCGCGAGTGTGTAACTTCCGATGTATAATGATCTCTTACATTATGGCTTGAGCAATCATCCTACTCATCGCTGTAACTACCAGATGGGTATCTATGATGGCGTTGTTTAAGCTCGGTGGCTGTGGTTATAGTTATTCTTTAAGAGGGTCAAATGAAAACGGAGTGATTGGCTAATGAGCCCAAAAGACGCGCATTACAGCCAGCCGTAATACACAAGATGGGTACCACCAAGTACACTTGGCTCGCTGTGTGTTCGGAGATGCAACATGTATATAAATGTGTGTGGTGATCAACAGCGCACTAAAGTAAATTATAGACAAAACGTATGAAATTTACGTTTCAACAAACTGCGTGGATCAATCACTACCATTGTTACATCTGAGAAAAACGAACCTGTAAGGCAGAGACGTTGAACAGAGCCTTATCATCAAGAAGCGCGGGATCTCCGGTAACGAAGAGCAAATCCTCGATTATAGGGAATGTGGCCCCTTGCCAGAAAGAGTAGCAGCTATCAACCAATTTATTTGTTCTACCCTGAAATTGGATGAAGAGAATTAGCATCCATGGTAAAATATCAGTTGTCACAGAGAAGTATGTGAACAGAGCGAACTACAAGCATGCAGCGAAAGCTCTCTTCCAATAACACTGGGAAGTGATTGGCAGCCGTCTGGAGAAGAGCACAACTCACTTGGAACCCACCTTCACTGGACATTTGACGATGGGCCACCCACTTCAACAATCGAGGTAGATCGATCAATTCCGGATGCCCCAACAGGCACAGAGCTGCCACGGCGCAAAATGTGTAGCCTCCGTGTGCTTCGATGCCAGGCTGAGCTCCGAAACCGCCTTCGTACGTCTGAAAACGAGACACAGCAATTGATCAAGTACGTTATGGAATCAGTGTTAGGGTTTACAGTACACTACTTTGACACGACACTGGACGCGCTTTGCTTATCACATCACAGTCTTGACAAGTGCATATTTTTTAGCATCGATAAAATCACTCTAGCTCCATTGGGAGCTCAGTGAACCCGCATACTCCAGTAAACTGGAAGCACCGGAATGGAGGAGTTCTGTGTTGTTCTCTCCAATCACTGCACTGTGCGATGCGTTTCCTCCTTGTTTGGACTCATCAAGTAGGGATAACCTGAGCTAGGAGCAAAAATCAGAACAGTGGTTGGCGGCTAGCACCATGATCACGGGTCCAATGAGATCTGCGAGCAGCGCATGTGGAAGTGGAAGTTCCGTGACGAACCATGGGGATTGATCGTAATGTGCAGTCGAAGCTATGATTACCTCGGTAGCAATAGTAAACAAAGTGAGGTGACAAGTATAGACGCGGAACAATTTGGGGAGGAATATCAGAATTAGTATCATGCTCCACGTTCGCCTACAACTGCGATTGTCGGACAAAACATGCATGGCAGGAGTAAAATACTTATGGAAAACTGACGGAACTCAAGAAGATTAGTCTTAATTTGTGAAGTGCGCTCGGTGTATCATCTGGACTTAGTAATCCAGAAGCGAATCCCTTTTACAAATACATTTTCTTATGCTATCAGAACATCTATCATGTCCAAATAAGTACGACTGTGTGCACCAGGGTAGTAAACGAACGGACGAATGACAAGAACAACAGATTACCTGACATTTGGCAAGCCAATCAGCAGTGGATGAGAACACATCCGGATGGCTGTGAAGTATGCCGGTGAGCTTTGCAACAGCGACGGCACAATAAGCCCCTCTGACATCCGCTTCACCACCGATGTGCATGAGGAACGACCCGTCATCTTGGTGCAGGGTTTTGAGCCAACTGACGAGCGCGGGACGATTGATAATATCCAAGGCATCGCGCCGACAGAGTGATGCAAGACAGTTGATAGCACCATATGTGGTGGCCAGATGCGCGAACTGATGAGGACCTCCTCCAAAACCACCGTCGGGGTGCTGGATAAACAGAGGATGATAGGATCATCATTTTGACGGAACACCGAGCTACAGGGAGGTGCTAAGAAGGGAAAGGAAACGACGACCATGGCGTAACAATTGCAAGGACATATTTCACCAGGAGAGCAATCCTGGAAACAAAACCAAGACGTAGGTGGCTTCCAGTAATCAATACAGACGGACGCTGCTTTGATTGAGATAACTAAACGGATCCGTTATCGCAAAGCATGAACCTAGAAAATGGTTCCCATATGCAACTGCACGTAAAGCACTGATCGAACCTGAGGGGAAATGAACACGGTTCATCCGTATGCCTCTCATTGTGTCGGTGACTCTGTGTCAAGGATTTTGTAGCAACTGCAGCTGGAACGACAGGTGCGAAGAGCAACTGGGTTCGTAGTAAACAACCAATTGGACAGCAGCAATAATGTCGATGGCAAGGCACGTACGAATAGGGTGCCGATTCATAACAAGCAGGGTTGAGATGAATGGTGAGTAGTATGAATTAAACGAACAGCCACGCGGCACATTGGGTATACAGCTGGACTAGCATATTTCATTGTGCTTTGTGAAACACTGGCGCTTTTGCGGTACCGTCCACAGAGGTGCGCAAAATCACCACTTATCAAAGGGGTGGATAGTATGCAGTGTAAACCAGGGACCTCGTGTCTCGCAAAGTAACTTGCGACGAGTATGGCTGGACTTTACCGTGGTGCGATGGTTTGCGTGCCTCAGCGATCCATTGAGCTGTGCTGGGTGGTGCTTCTCGCACTCATACTAGCTATGTCGATGGTCAGAGACCAGACAAAATTAGCCTCCTCCAAGTTGGGGGTGGCTCCCTACACCTTAGAACAAACTTCTTGTAGCCCATTGTCAAATCCGCTATTTTGTGGTCATGTTTTTAAGCCAAAGGCTTTGGTTGGAAACCCTAATAGTTCTCCTGTCTAGGTGCAGCACAGTGGCTGAGATGTCCTCACCTCTAGCCAACGTGTATAATGATGACTCCTTTCTAGGTCTGTGCAACACAGTGAATTTCTCCTCTAACGATTTATTGATGCTCTGATCGTGGCAGGGGATAATCAACGGCGTTCTATCTGCCACATTTAGCGAGGTGGATAGGGGTTTTGTTGCTACTGCTCAATCCTTCCAGTCTTCTCATTCCCCCACTTATGCTTTTTCACTTTCATCATCCCTTTCAAACTTTACTTTTACCTCCCCTCCCCCGTTTTCAACCCCAATTCCTGGTCCTTCCCCGACTTGCTTCAGTATTCACTTGTCTTTTAGTATCAACCCCTGTCCTGTTGACAAGCTCAATTCGTCGGCTTGTATCGGGAGCCCCCGATCCTCCCTTAGACTGGTATACCTCAACCTACGCACATTGTTACAGATCGGTCAACAGGCAGCACTTACCCGAACACTAGCGACCTTCTTGATCGATATCTGTTGCTCATCGGAAACCCGCCTGCAAGACTCGAGCTGTGTTCACTTTACGATCCCCTTCAAGTAAAATTAGCAGTGCTTTCTCACTGCGCCTATCTGGTGACGATGCAGCTTCGAGTGCCAGTCAAACCGGTGTGGGTATTGCCCTGAGTCCTTGGGCTGTAACTGCTCTGATTGGTTGGATCCCCATTAGTAGCGGGATGTGTGCGGTCCGACTGGCTGGCTCGTTCGAAGTCGCGCGGGGTCAACAGGTGACTGTCTGTCATCGCTGCCTAGGCCCCACAGACTGTAGCGAAAACTTGATAAAAGACGACTTCTATCGCCAATTAAACGAGCACCTTCGTCACAGAAGTAGCACGGACACTGGCTGTAGACCTGAACGCTTAAGTTGGAAAACTGTCCACCGATGGGCTGCATTTGGGCGGCCAACATGGTGCACGCCTCCGTAGTGGTAGCGATGATCTATTACTTCATTTGTGTGAAAATGCTTGTTTACTTTTTGCGAGCAGTAACTTCCGACACAGCACCCGCCGGAAGGTGACATGGCGCTCACCAGTCCTGGAAGCAAATCACATTGCGATCAGTTAGCGCTGGAGAGGACGCGTCCAAAACTGTCGCTCGATCTGAAGCACATGTATAAACATTAACCATGCACTTGTGTGTGTGCTGATTTGCGAGTTTTTGCGGACGCCCACGACGACGCTGGGAACACATAGACACCAGCTGAATGCGTATCGAAGTACGCTGGCATTCCGGCAGAGTAAGCGCTCATTGGACACAGTTGAAAGTCACCGGTGAGAGAGAAATTCATGTCTCTGCACGCGCAGTAGCATGTTGCGAATTTCGCTAAACATTGGATGGCTATTGGATGTTGGGGACAACCGTAAATGGCCGGCGTTCACCATAAGCGAACCACGATAGACAAATGAACACGCTCACAGGTCTTCTTCCGTCAGACTAACTGTAATTCTTTTTTGCGGCACAATAGCCAGCTGGTAGCTCTCTGGAACGACGTCCACCCGTTACTGGCGGTTCAGCTGGGGTGTCTATGTTGCATGTTTTTTTTATAATTTAATGTATTGTGGCACAATAGCTGTGTTTATGGCGCGTGAGTCGTACGCTATCAGGTACGATGCTAGACGGCCAACCCAAGGTAGTCGATAGAACACACAAAAGTAAGCTAGGGAATAGGTTTATCGAACGGGAGAAAAGCTAGCTAACCCTAAAAATAGGGCACTAGGTGTCTAGCTAGGGAAGCTGTAGCCGTGCGTCGAGTCGCGGGCCGAACCAGTGCACTTCCCGAATGTTCGTAGAGTTCAAGGATGGATGTCGTATTTGTGTTTCAAACAAACGGGAATAACGTTCCGACAGGCAAACCGTCCAATTCCCTAATACATAAGAAAACTATAATTTTATAATTTACACAGTCATAAGGGGAAATCTCCAGGTCAATACATGTTTTTCACCTCTAGCTAACGTGCATAATGATGAATAAATGTTGGTGTTATTAGAGGGATAATGGAGAAAGTGAAAAATGCACTCAGACAAACGAAGTGCAAAAGAAACTCTAGCGGACTCGTGAGTGCTATGTTTGCAAGTACATCTAATAACTGATGCGTCTGATCCCTAGATCTCCATTGAAGAAATTGACACGCACCAGGTATGGTAAGAGAGTCCAGCCAAGGTGAACAGATGGACTGAAGGGACGAACCTGACGGATTCGACCTTCAAACACTGCAGGTGTAGGCGTTTGTGTTTACGCGCATTGGCTGGTGTTCGTCAGCGCATGCTTAAGTGAAGCAAGAGCAACCTCATCGGTCGAAAAATACCGCTGTTAACGGGAGTGGATGAACAGATATGTCGAAGCGGTGTGTGCGCCAAGCCCACTACCTTGTCGCTTGTCCTGAAAATAATGTTTTTCGATACTAATCATAGCAAGTTTGGTTGATGACTCCAAATCTTTATTTCATACTATCAACCAGTCGATGTACGACTTCAAATTTAATGTACGGTTGGAGAACAACATAACCTAATAGGCATGCATACGTGGAGCGTTATCTGATCAATGTACGCCGCACCAGCAGGTTTGTCGACAAATATCAACTGTCATACAACCATTCCCATACAAGAATTTCAAAAGCGCAAGAACAAGCAACATGAATTTAATATATTCTGTGTATTCTCATCAGCGGCTTACATACTGTGGGCGGAAACTTCAAACGGTTGGGAGTGACTTACATTACCAGGAATTGATGCTTAGTCGTGCTCCTGAAACCGTCCCAGAGCAAGGTTAGCCACAAACTCAATCTGTTTGCGTAGGCAAAGCTTTGAACGCCGGATAGCAGTAGCCTCAGCCCGTTTTTCGTATGGCGCTATTTCTTTTTCAATACCTGGCAATGAACTTCTCGGGGTCGCCATTTTAGAACAGATACAGCGGGCTCCGAATACTGTATTACAGAGCAAGTAGAAATGAATTCTGTACAACTCTTACGAACCAAGGAGCGCTTGTAGCTCACAGAACAGCAGCTGTTGAAATTTTGGTACTGCCCCGTTTCTCTTGGTTTATGATATATTGGTCTTACGAGCGAACCATCAGATCTCTCCAAGAAGTGGGATATTCCATGGTGAAATCGATCTGGGATGACATCGGCTCAACGTTTCCAGCATGCTTTATGTCTGTTAAGAATCAGCCACCCCCACAAGTCACCAATATATCGCAAGTAAAACTGCTTCCTGTATGGATCGACACAATTTGGTGTGCTCTAGGTGGGCCACGAAGATTTCCGGCCATGACTACACTCTTAATTTGTCAATAGAAGCAAAAGTGAGCATTTTTTGTACAGATACCATGTTCTTTAGTCGGCATCTGTATCGTTCGCACGACGCTTCCATCAGATGTGAGCCATACTTACCTAATACTAGTAGAAGGTGAATATAGCGCAGCGGTCATATCAGCGCTTGACGGGACACCATTGGAATCAATGTTAAGATGTCTATCGCTGCTTCCATGGGTAATTAAGGCCACATCGACCCAAATGACGCCCGCAGTCACATCTTTGATAACGCTGTCACCTAGCTAGATGAATCGATCAGTCACCTCCATGGAATGCGCGGTGGAAGTGAGGACAATGAAGTGTCAGCCCAAACTTGCAATAGAACTTTAGAAGTGCTAAAATCAAAACGAGGTGGGTGGCGATCACAAGTTCCTCATGTATTGGTAACAAGATTATTTATATGGTACGTAAATATGTATCACCATCCCATTGTGCCCGTTTTTACTGGTTAGTTATGGTTGTCCGTCCTGTGTCATCAGGTTGGGTTCGTTGGTCCACAGATGATTTTGGTTTGCTGTACTCAACTCAACCCACACTTACACTGTTTGGGGCTACGTTGCTCTTTGCTCAGGCTAAGCCGCATCAACTGTGTTCTCCATCAAACCCATGCAATTATGGACAGCTCACTTGGGGGATGGTTGATCAACTGTTTATCAATTGCTTACCATCAGCTTCTGATGATGAGCTGAATTCGCAGTGGATTCGCATCAAAAATGCCTTATTTTC